GTAAGGAGTGCATTTAGCAGGAACCCTTTTCCCGAAGACGAAAACCTTAAGGAGTGACTCCAGCAGGAAAGTTTAAGCCACACCGAAAACCTCAAAGAGTGAATCCAGCACGAACCTTCCCCCGAAGACGAAAACTCTAAGGAGTGAATTCAGCAGGAACCCTTGCTTGACCGAAGAAGCTTTAACTTTAACCCAAGACGAAAACCTGTAAGGGGTGAATACCCAAAACCCTTAGGAGTGAATACCCAAGACGAAAGCCCTGAGGAGTGATCCCAGCAGGAACTTTTTCCCGAAGGCGAAAACCCTAAGGAGTGCATCCAGCAGGAACCCTTTCCCAAAGACGAAAACCCGTAGAGTGAATCCGGCAGCAGACGTTAACCCAAGACCGAAACCCTAAGGAGCGAATACCGAAGACGAAACGCCTATGGAGCGAATTCCCAAGGCGAAAACCCTAACGGCCAGTTTAGGGCTTGGGGGTTGGTGCTCGGTTGAAACTCTCGGTTTTGGTGGAAAGCACGTTCTCAAGCCATGGTCATCTAACTTGCACAGCAACTTTAGAGCTTGAAACACAGAGTTTTTCAGGAGTGGCTGTTCCACTCAACCTGGGACTTGCCGCTGACGTGGGGCGATGGCCTGGATGATATGCCGCTGTGCATGAAGAGAATCCTATATGTAAAATGCATAAGGACCGTCACCTGAAACTTAAGCCTAAGCCCGAAAGCTTCGTCCCAGAGTGTTTTTTGTGTGTTTGAGTGTGCACGCCCCACCTGCAGCAGTTTTTAGGATAGAGCTGTAGACCTCTAAAACCCATTCCATGAACCCCTGGGGACCCTCATAAAAGCCTAACAGCACAAGCCGGGTTTTCGATTCCATGAGGAATGTCCGTGGTCAACCTTATCGTGCCGCAACCGGGTTTATGCGAAGTTGTGGTCCTCTAGCGTACAGTATATCCCTGGTTCCCCGACTAGGGCAGTAGAATGTCTGGAATGCAACATACTTTAATCTTGCGACGAGCCATGCCTTCTTGCTCACATGTGTTCCCGTTGTTTTGAAAAACTTATAAAGTTTAATCGCAAAGACCTATTGACCGTCACAGTTTCTTGCAGAAGACACTCATTCGAAAGTCTTCTGTCGGCAGGACCTTGGGTGCTCACAAGGCTGCATGGGGCGTGGCGATGAAGCCCGCTTACGGCTAGAGCAGGTCCGCCCAGTATGTTTCCAGTTTAGAGGGTCTCCATGGCATTTTGCGGTCTGTTCGGACTTCCGGATTTAGAATCTTAGAAGCGACACTATCATACTGCCCAGCAACATCAGGTGAAGGAACCTTGGCCTGTGGGATCCTGACATAAGGCCTGACCTGTAAAAAGGCTGAGCAGCCATCGCAGAGGTAAGATTTCCAGCGTGCTTCAAGGTTTCGCCCAATCATTGGGTGTTAAGCTCTACAAGCCTCCAACCCGCTTCGAGGGACGCCCGAACAGAACGGGACGTGGCGTTCGTCCACGTCCTCGGGGCACAAGACCCGCGTTCCATGTCACTGCAGCTCAGTCACGGGTGCTTCGCAGCAAGTTCCGGAGGCATAACAGGGTGTTGGTTTATAGTTTTTATTCAAACTGGAGACAGTGCATCTTGAGTGATGTTGCTAACTTTTGTGGCCTCGACCTTGCGCAGACCACAGACAAAGCACAAACCTTTTGGGCCAGACCGCTTTGCAGTCCAAAGTTCCCGTGATGCTGTCTTTTTAAAAGTCAACGGTCCTTGTGTTTTCAGGCAGTTTAACGATTTGGGCTCAATCTGTACATATTTACGTGACACTGACATAGTTCGTTCTTGTGTCCTTGCCATATGTTCGTTTGTTGCCATGTAGGGCTTTGGTCCTATCCTACACTTTCCCAATCATTATTATTGCTTTTCTGATTGTCATCTGCAGTTTTTGTTTTCCAATGTGGGGTCCTGCTTGCTGTTGTTATTATCATGTTTAGTCAGCATCTATCGTGTCCAGGTAGGTAATTACATATGCAGCTCGGTCCATGTCATGCTTCGGCAGATCCGAGTTTGCAGCTCACACAGCCGAGAATTCGCCATCCCTCCTTTTGCTTATGTTGGTGGACATGTGACATGTGGTCGATTAGGCCCGGTTTGCAATCCCTGCCAAGACTCTGCGTGACAAGACCTGATGTTTGGCTGCGCAGTTTTACTTGGACCTCCTATATAAGTACGCGCTTCTGTCGCATTCTCCGGAAAACTGCCTGCATGCACAGTACCTGTTTCTGTGAACTGGGCCACTGTCGAGGCGGGTGCGAGATGTTCTCTTGCAGTTCTCGAGTGTAGTACACATGCGTCGGTAGACTCACTGCAGATGTATGAGAGGAGAGTGGTGCTGAAGAGTCTTTCAGAAGGGGTTTCCAGGCCGGAACAGTTTGACAGTCGACAGTGGTCCACTCCTCCGCCTCGGAGGCTGATCGCTGCGTTCACCCAGAAAAAGAGCGGCCATGTTGCCCGCAGGTGCCACCACAAAAAGCCCTGAGCCTTTGAAGAGTCGCTAATAATCCCTTTGAAGTCGGAACTGAAGCCAGAAGTACCGAAGAACTGCGACCCCCTGGGGGTTGGAGCAGATGTGGAGCAGCTAAACTTCGACTGAACCCCATCAAGGACCCTCCAAGCCTCCAATTTCATGTCACTTTGGCCTGCAGCTTCCTAGGCCGAAGCTTGTCCGGACTTTAGTTGTCATCCGATGGGCCGCGGGGCCTGGGAAGCCTAAGTTGCACGGGGTTATTGTCTAGAGTGCTGCAGGTTCTGCGGTGATGTCATCAACTCGGGCAAATATCTTAGACGTCATAACGTATACACCCCCAGAGCTTCAAGGAGAGCATCAGGTGTTTCAACGCCTCCAGGCCCTTGCTTCGCCTGACATAGTGACTGACTCTTCATCCCGCTCTTCCTCCCGAAGCGTTTGGGATCGCAGATATTCCAGGATTTCTTGGAGGTGCAGCTCCAGGTGGCATCAGTGTGACCGACATGCAAATCCTAGCCTAGGCGCACGCACCCTGCTTGGACGATCAACCCCCAGCGACTTCAGCGGGAGCTTGGCCTGAGACGAGCTGCAAGCCTAATCTTGCAAGACCGCGGCACGAGTTAGACACCGCCGGGAGGACGGGAAGCAAGCTAGCCCACTGCAAGACTCACCGCAGACATACCTCAAGCCTGCACACAAATGGGTTCATCACAACATCTCCAAAGCGCCTACTGTTTAGCTTGAGCTTGACCTGCTTTGGAGAGCCCATGCCCACCAATGCTGTGGCCAAGCTCGTGATGGGCCTCAGTTTGTTCTGGGGCAGCGCTCTGTACCCTTTAATTCCGTGGTGCTAAGGACGACGAAGATTTTTAAGCATGATGGTTAGTTACTGTCATCATGATGTTGAAGAAGGGCGGCGACCGTGATGGTTGAGCGCGGGATAGTCCAAGTCTTACGTGGCCGTTGCAGTAGTAGCAGTCGCGATAGTGGTAGTGGTTGTAGTATGAGTATGGGAGTCGTCGTCGTGCTGGTTGTGATTGTGGTTGTGGCTGCTGACGCCGCTGCAGCAGCCGGCGCTGATGCTACGATCCATGTCGGAACAAACCCTTGCCATGTCTTGAAGCACAACAGCCATAAGACACCAGCCTGAAAGCTGACACGACGACATCTGGGAGCATGGGCTTTGGGGGAGCTGAAACACTCGGTGTAAAATCCGTACACCCTGGGTTTATGGCTAGCGGCTAGTTGTAAGCAGGTTTACAGGACTTCACCTGCTGTTCGACGTAGGCATTACGGTTGCGGATGCATCCCACCATGCAGTACTCCTCTACCCTTATAGAACTTTCAAACCCTTACATGCAAGCCGTATTGTATCACATTTTCATACGACAGTAATCTTTATGGTGGCACGAAAGCCGAACTGCACTGCAGTGATTTATACTACGCTAACCTGTGTAGGGACCCTCGCACAATGGTAAACCTTCTGGAACCATAACCATTTTAGATTTAGCCGTTGTAGTACCCCTTGTAATAACAGGTTTTTCGACCCTTATATTACAACACCCTCAACCCGGATCCGTATGAAACCCGGAAGTCTTCATCTGCTCCCTGCATCCTGTATCCAGGTCCAGCGTTGCCTCGCAGCGTGGCGCGGAAGCCGGTGGGCTGCCCCAGATCGGTTTCACCTGATGGTTTGAGTCAAGAAGCTATCGGTATAAAAGGCTTCAGTTTCTGGAAGACAGGTCTATTCGAGCCTTTAAAGACAGGGGTGCAGCGTTTATGGTGGTCGGTTTGGGGGGGCAGGCTCAGAAGTTTGGGCTAGCATTTCAAGCGGTTACTTCCATATCAGCTCTCCACATTTCGCCAAACCTGTGCGCCCTGCAGCCATAGAGCTCGACTGAATCTCCCGACAGGCGTTACAGACGATAGGTCCTTTGAACTGGAAGCGCCAAAACCGGGAGTGACCTCTCCATGGGAGCATATCCAGAGGCAAGCCTTTATCTGCTGAACACAAACTTCAGACGCTAACTTACTTGAGCGTAATTCATGTTCAACATAATTCTAATCTCTGTATGTATGTACATGGGTATATCTGTCTGCATAATATGTGTGTATATATATATACATACACACACACACACACACCCTTCCTTGTGCGCTGCTCCGCCGCACAAAATGTCGCTTACGGTGCCAGTGGCAGGACAGCCACAGTGAAAGCCGACTTGGAAGACGTGGGAACTCTGAAACGACGCGCGGAGATGGTACTCGAAGTGGGGAAAGGGCAGCTGGTGAGCTCATCAGGAGGCGGTCTGGATGTGGGTGTACTGAGCGTGCCCGGCTGCAGGATGGTGACTCACTGGTTTTACATATAAGCAGAGTTCAAGCTCACGCCGCTTTTGCTGCCGTTCTTGACGATGGATCGTTCATGACCTGGGGAGGTGCTCACGACGGCGGTGATAGTAGTGCTGTGCAGGATCGGCTGAAGAATGTGCAGCAGATCCAAGTCAACGGCCGCGCTATTCAGCCGCTATTCTTGCCGATGGATCTGTCGTAACTTGGGGTTATCCTGTGGATATAGTAGTGCAGTGCAGAATCAGCTGAAAAATGGATTCAAGCCAACGGTAGTACCGCTGTTGCTGCCATTCTTGCCGATGCATCTGTCGTGACTTGGGGTTATCCTGCAGACGGTGGTGATAGTAGTGCAGTGCAGAATCATCTGAAGGATGTGCAGCAGATCCAAGCCAACGGCCGCGCTTTTGCTGCCATTCTTGGTGACAGTTCCACTGTCGTTTGGGGCAATGCACGCCTTGATGGTGACAGCAGAGCTGCGCAGGCCAGGCTGAAGAATGGTCAGCAGATCCAAGCCTCTCGTGCCGCGTTTGCTGACATTCTCGGCGATGGAAGCGTCGTCAGTTGGGATAACTTTCGCGGATGTGGTGACAGCAGCCCTGTGCAGGATCAGCTGAAGCATGTGCAACAAGTCCAAGCCTCTGCCAGGGTTTTTGCTGCCATTCTTGGATCTGTCGTGACCCGGGGCCGTGGTGATAGTAGTGCCGCGCAGCATCAGCTGAAGAATGTGCAGCAGATCCAAGCCTCTAGCCGCGCTTTTGCTGCCATTCTTGCCGATGGCTT